CTCGCGGTCACTTTTTAGCCCTCGTCGAGGGCTTTGAGTCAAACCGACAGTTTTCCCTAAAGGTCAAGCCATTGTCCTAAACGTATGCAAAAAAATTAGCCAGATATACTGAGTTTAAGTACCCTAAAGTCTGCGTTGAAATGACCCTCTGTTTTCCCCATAAAATACAAAGATTATGTAGGGAAATACGACTGGTCAGTTTTGACCCATTTCCCGATTTTTCCCAGACATGGCAAGTTTGTCTGACACCCCCAGGCATTCTCCTACCACCTCACAAAATTTCAAGGGGGTCGTCGGAGGAATTTTTTTCTCGTAATATAGCTCATATAATGAGAATTTCACTCGCGGTCACTTTTTAGCCCTCGTCGAGGGCTTTGAGTCAAACCGACAGTTTTCCCTAAAGGTCAAGCCATTGTCCTAAACGTATGCAAAAAATTAGCCAGATATTCTGAGTTTAAGTACCCTAAAGTCTGCGTTGAAATGACCCTCTGTTTTTCCAATAAAATACAGAGATTATATAGGGAAATACAACTGGTCAGTTTTGACCCCTTTACGAAGTTTTCCCAGATATGCCGAGTTTTTTGTGACACCCCAAGGCGTTCTCCTACCACCTCACAAAATTTCAAGGGGGGTCGTCGGAGGAATTTTTTTTTCGTAATATAGCCCATATAAGGCGCCGGTCAGTCGAGGTCAGTTTTGACCCCCTCTCCGTCGACTTTTCGGCCAACCGTCACCGGCCCTCGTGTTCTATCTCCCCAAGGCACCATCGTGCCAAATTTGACGCGCCTGCGGCGCCGGGAAGTGCCCTATCGGGCACCTGACCACTTTGCTTTATATATATAGATTTTTCTAAACATACTGAAAATATATTTTAAGTTATAGGAAAATTATGAGTTGCTTTCTATCAAACTAATGTCATTAATATTTTTAAAATCATGCATGGTAAAATAAAACCTTAAAAATAATTTGATCGAGACAAAAGCTAACCAAGCCCGTCCATTTTGCCCGCCGTGTATTTGAATGGGGAGAAATCTAGTAGACGACACATTTCTGCTGAACGGCAGTTAACGGCCAATCGTGACCATAAAAACACTCTTTAATTAATGTTTAATCAATATCAACATTTTTAATGTTATTATAATAAGTTTATACTATAATGAACCTGTCGGACATTTTTGTCTAATGACTATGGGGTTATCCATAAACTATGTCACGTGTATTAATCATTTTTACATCAACCCCTCCACATCATCACACCACTCCCAACTCCCCCACCCCCAAGTGAAAATGAAGTCACACTTCAGCCTTTAACCCCCCCCCCCCCCCCCCCCACCTCAGATTAAATTGAAATTGTGTTTTGAAATAAGCGATTTATTTTTTAAAAAAATATGTACTGAGCTCGATGGACATTAAATTATATATTGATCAATTTTATTTCAATTTATAAAAGAACTAATCACAATGATAAATAAAGGTTTAAATTCAGTTTTTAACATTCCTTCAGGCTAGCAAAAGTGTGTCATTGTTTAATACTGCACCCCCACCCCACCCCCTCCAGGAGAGATTGATGTCTTTTATGGACGACCACTACAACCCTTTACTATTACCTATAAGATATTCATTGATTGGTAATACAAACTTATGTTTATTTTATTTTGTAAAACAATTGTTGTGATTTTAATTGTTTTACTTTCCCTGGCCACTCCAGTTGACTACGTAATAAGTTCATGACTGTTTGAAATATTTGAATTGTTAAAATAAATCTATAATTATTTTTAACGGATTATCCTCAATACAATTGTGAGTACAATCGATGGTTCCCAGACGGTTTTAGATTTTAAAAATGTAAACAACTTTATAGCTTGCCACAGTTTAAAAAAATAATTTCAAATTATATAAAGATTATACAGATTTTGAACCAGTTTTCAAGCAAATTTCGTGGGCATTAAGCTCATGGAATCTTGTTCAATTGTTAATTATTTTAAAGTTCTGTTTACAATATGCAACCTATAAATCTTGTTCTCGTTTTGGAACACCCCGGTTGGTGCTGTACACAGTGTAACGCTTGCTTGATTGTTGGACAGGTTTAAAAACATCATTTTAGTTCTTTTTAACATGCATGATTGGAGGTTGTGACATGTTTTGTCGTTTAATTCAGTTGTCATTTAGTGGGAGGAGGGTGTCCACACAGTTGTTGGGAGCAGGTGTTAATGTTGGGAGCAGGTGTTAATGTTAGGAGCAGGTGTTAATACAGTTGTTGGGAGCAGGGTGTCAATATAGTTGTTGGGAGCAGGTGTTAATGTTAGCATCAGGTGTCAATATAGTTGTTGGGAGCAGGTGTCAATATAGTTGTTGGGAGCAGGTGTCAATATAGTTGTTGGGAGCAGGTGTTAATGTTAGGAGCAGATGTCAATATAGTTGTTGGGAGCAGGTGTCAATATAGTTGTTGGGAGCAGGTGTCGATATAGTTGTTGGGAGCAGGTGTCGATATAGTTGTTGGGAGCAGGTGTTAATACAGTTGTTGGGAGCAGGTGTCAATACAGTTGTTGGGAGCAGGGTGTCAATAAAGTTGTTGGGAGCAGGGTGTCAATAAAGTTGTTGGGAGCAGAGTGTCAATAATTTGTTGGGAGCAGGTGTTAGTACAGTTGTTGGGAGCAGGGTGTCAATACAGCTGTTAGGAGCAGGGTGTCAATATAATTGTTGGGAGCAGACTGACTATACAGTTGTTGGGAGCAGGTGTTAATACAGTTGTTGGGAGCAGGTGTTAATGTTGGGAGCAGGTGTTAATGTTGGGAGCAGGTATTAATACATTAAAGGGGATCGGCTGTCTCTATTGTCCCCATCGAACCCAAATTTCGACAGACCCCCCCCCCCCACAAAAGGAGTGTGTCGTCAAATGTGGACAACGCGTTCCTAATCGCCTCGCTCAATAAAATTAGATCAGCTAATCTGGGCTACAACAAAACACGAATTACCTCTCTTTATAAGTTTAATCCACGATCAGCGCAGATTAACGAGCGTAAAGCATTCTTTCAAATAATGCGATAATCCTCCCACTGGTGGGATTAACAGTTAAGCTGCTTACATTCTAGCCAGCGTGTTAGATTTTAGCCAAAATGTAGGAAACAAACTTTTCGTTGCTAACAGGGCTGACAAGTTGTTGGTAGAGTTAACTCCCGTTCTACCAGATGCATACTTCGGATATGCACATTTTTAGCGCAATTTCCATACTGGACAATTGCGATTATTAACTCGTCATTTCTGGTGATGGATGGATGGATGGATGGATGTGTGTCCGCAGCCTTTAAGTCGTATCTCCTCCTCAACGAAGCAATATCGAGGTCTAGTTCCAAAAGCAAATATGTTAAGCAAGTTCCGAGGATGATTGTGGGTCAAAAAAATTCCCGGAATTCCTTCCTGGATTTCCCGGAAAAGCCAAAAAACTTCGAACAAATTCAGTTTTTGCTCCATATCTCGGCAACCAGACCACTTAGCGACTTGAAACATTTACCAATCGATTCCTGTCATAATTTAGACCAATATTGCCGAAGAAAGTTTTCAAAAATATCCTTTCGTTCGGTCACAAAAAATTAATTAAGAACCTTTAAACTGAGCATCTTGTAGGCCTAGGATGATTTAAACTGAGCATCGTGTAGGAGTTTATATTTATAGGATGATATTTACAAAAATTAAAAATTGTTATGGATAACATAAGGAAATTGCGCTTAAATTGTCACTAGACTTTTTATTAACTTGTTCATTACTGAAATGTCAGGTTTAGCACATTGATTTTTTTTTACATAGCCTAGATTCCAAGTGTTATAAAGGCTGGTGTTAAGAAATGGTTACCTTCAATTTAAAAATGCACATACCCCAACCTATCTTATCACTAACCCCCGCCCCCCCCCCCCCACTCCCACTTCACACAGTCAGCAAGTACAGCTACCCTTACTCTCCCTTACGGGTGTGGAACGTCATAAATGGAAATCCCCTCAGTTATTTTAGTATATTACATCATCTAACGAAGTCCCATAAAGTTATGTATATCGTTAAGATTCTTCTGTAGAGATTGGGCAGATGAAGTAGCTCATACGTTTCTTGACCTCGCCATACGAAGGGATTATGTGGTTACCACTTTGCCCAGCCGCCTTTACTTGCTCTAACGAGATTTAGATACCGTCACAGTTTTGGTGGACTTAGGGACTTTCAATCAAGTGATTTGAACCTGGATTTGAACTCAAGATTTCGGGTAAGTAGTCTAGAACTCTACCTTTAGGCCATGCCGGCCCATATATTATATGGTGCTTGATTCAAAATAACCCAGATATTTCAGTAAAACATACACGGCCCTGTTTAACTGTATACCCTACGTCCCTGATTATCCAACCAAGTTTTCCGTTCTTAGCTAAACCAACATTAAGTCTCGCAAATACCCCAGCAGTCGCTAGTTGTCACGTCTATGTTCCCATGTTTGTGTCGTACAATGGGTGAGTTTTGAAAACCTAGCTAACACTGTCAACAGCTGTGTCCCAAACCAACCAACTGCTACACCATTCATCTTGGTTAATTGTGATCTTTGGAGGTATTTCAAATGTACAATCTGGTTAAAGTATAAGAGTCACTAAATATTTTTTTTAAAGTTTCTAATTAGTAGCAGTCTTGGAAAGAAATGGCGGTCGAGGAACTTACAACACACAGCAAACACAATCACAAGAGTGATGAGTGTGGTGAGGGTGGTGTGTGTGGTGACTGTGGTGTGTGGTGAGAGTAATGAGGGTTGTGATTGTGGTGATGATGGCGAAGCTATCTTCCTGCTTAAACTGTAAGAACCGGCGCCTCACATAACACCGTCTGAGTTGTTCGTTAAATCGAGTCAATCGACGACTATCGCAAATGTATTCCAGAGTATTTCTATCATCGTGCTGTTTCAATTTCACACTTCCTAGAACGTTCCCGTGCCCTATTTTGGGTCTGTGACTCAGCATGACGTCAGTGGTTGCTATCAGCACGAACTATCAAACTGTTTAGTTTCTAGCCACAGCTTACGTCTACAGCTAACATCAACAATCGATATTCAGTAAGTTTTCAATGTACTTTTTCAATCAGATTTTTAAGCTTGTTTAAGTGTATATCTAATTCTACTGTTTTGAGAGAGCTAGGGTTTTCTATAGAGGGAGCAACCTCGTTGCTAGTGTGTAGTAATGATTATATTATTGATTATTTTGGGTTTTAGTAGAGTACTAGCCGTCCCGGCCAGGCCCTGCTCTGGCTTCTGTGAAAAACCTTTCTGTTAAAGACCATCACCTGTGTGTTTAGTAATCATCATAAACCCGGCATTGCCCACCCAAACCACAACCAACCAAAACCAAAACAACAAAACGCAAACATAACGCTAACACAATTACAAATACAAACGAAAACAAAAACCTAACAACAAACCCAACCACACACACCAATACAAACACAAAGAAAAAACAAACCAAAAAGCAAACAAAAACCTAACAACAAACCCAACCACAAACACCAATACGAACACAAAGAAAAAAAAACGAAAAAGCAAACGAAAACAAACCAAATCCAAACGCAAAACCAACCAAATCAAAAGGCAACCACTAACGCAAACCCAACCTAAACACAAAGAAAGCACAAACGCGAACATAAACGCAAAGTGCTCACAGTCTAGCCCGGGGCAGAGTCGCCTATTTCAGGTTATTAAACGACTATAGTACCCCAACTTATTCATAGTCTTTTGCACTCACTTAAACGAACGTAGGTGCCAAACCAAACCAAATGAACAATTATAATACTCCAAGCTTATCCGTAAAATACCTACAACATTTGCACTTGATCAATCCCCGCTAATTATGTAATTATTTTTTTCTCAACACCAAAACAAAGTAATAAAAAGTAAATTCTTTTCCACTAATGCAATGTTTTATAAAGGGAAGTAATTGTGTTTTTCTAATTTATCAAAGGGAAGTAAGTGCTAAAGGACTAAATATAAATAATTTTCAGACATAATTAGAATTTTTGTTATTTTTTTGAAATTGTGTTTAATGAACATGCCGACAATTATTACTATCAGTTTGAAAAATAAAAATTATTTCCCAACACTTTCAATAGTAATTTTTTAACTCAAAAATTTAGACTATGAGCACGATATATATATATATATATATATATATATATATATATATATATATATATATAAATTATATATATTATATATATTCTATGATTGTTATTTTTCTCACAGCAAACGCACTTAAATTGTGACACGGTATTCTCAAAAAAGAGAAGGGAAAGTCGAAAGTAAATTTTCTTGTGTAGCTACACAGGCGAATTTATACCGCTGTTATTGTTTTGTAAGATAAACTTACAGTACACTCTTCAATATGTCTGAGAATAAAAAGAAAAGAAAACAGAGAAAAAAGGAAAAACCAAAGAAGGCGAACAAAATGAGGACTGCTCAACACGAGGAAGAAGAAGGAAGCAAACGTCTCCCCCATAGCGGGCCCGGGGATGATTCTCTGCTTCTTGCTGTAAGGACCGGCACCTTCCAGGATGTTGAGAGAGTTCTGAATTCACAAGAAGATGGCGACGTTTGTTCTCAGGCAGCCGTAGACCAAGCCTTGTGCATCGCTTCTGCTCGTGGACACGTCCTGTTCGTGACGTCACTGCTGGCCGCGGGGGCTGACGTCAACTGGAGGGACCAGGAAAACAACACGTCACTTTTGTTTAGCGCCGAGCGGCGGTTCGTGCACATCGTCAGGCTACTGGTCGGCGCAGGTGCAGACATCAATGTCAGGAACCCAGAAGGTGCCACGCCTCTAATGCTAGCTATCCACACATCAGGCTCCAGCGATCTTGCGCGCTTGTTGGTCATGGGCTCCAACGTCAACATCAAGGACAACAGCGGCAGAACGGCTTTCATGAAAGCCATAGAAGCAGGAGACGTTGACACAATTCAGTTGTTGCTCAAATCTGGCGCGTCGCTCAAAGATTGCGATAATAATGGACACACCATCATCGACATCGCTAAAAAATAATGGACTTGATAACTACTTGAGTCTGTTTAGTGATAAAGTAGGAATTAAATTGCCGTTATTTAAGGCCGTTGAAATGCGGAATTTGACCCTGATTAAAAATATTTTAACCATGAATAAACAGATGGTTACTCAGCCAAATGATAAATTTGAAACGGCGCTTCAGCACTTCCTGAAAACTATTCTGGAAGATGGAATAAAAACAACAACAAATGATTTGAGCATTATTGAATACCTTTTAAAGGCACAGGGGAATACAAAAAATTCCAAACAGAAGTTTACTAACAGTAGTTCTGAAAGCCCGGTGCAACTAGCTTGCCTCATTGGGGACGATAATATTCTGCTTTTATTGTTGAAATATGGCGCTGAGCTCGATACTGCTTCTTACGATGATGAAGATGAGCCATTAATGATCGCTGCAAAATGTGGACATGCGAAAATTCTGGAGATTTTACTAGCGAAAGGCTCGAAGATTCACCGCCGCTCGCTGCAGTTGGCAGTAAAAAAGGGCCACACAGATTGTGCGCAAATTTTGTTGGATGCGTTAACTAAAACAAATATCAAAGTTGCCGCACAAATTTGTATAGAAGAATGTGACGTCAGCTTATTGCGGTACTTAACAGAAAAGTTTAACATTGAGATCCAGGACAAATATTTTTTATGGGTTGCTATTGCTAGAGGCAACAAGGAGATCGTAAACTTCTTGATCGAGCGTGGTGCTGATGTCAATGCTACTTATCAAGGTCACTTTAGATTATCCTGGAAGAAAAGTACTCGGTTGTTCACACCACTGGGCCATGCTGCATATCATAAACATACGGAGGTGCTAAAAACTTTACTCGCCTCAGGGGCGGATACGGGTGGTGTTGACGATGATGGGAACACGGCTTTGTTTTATTGTGTAGAAAATGACGACATTGACGGAACTAGACAACTACTAGAGGCTGGTGCCAATGTGAATCACAGAAATATTAAAGGTTACACGCCGCTGTTATATGCTTTAGCAAAAAAATGTGGGAAAACAGAAAGCTGTAATTATAATACAAAAGGCGTTACAGCGGCACTGATTAGCATGGTTCAGCTGTTGATAGGATATGGAGCGGATGTGAACATCTCAAACAACGAAAATATAACCTGTCTTTTGCTTCTGCCACCATACTCAGAAAAAGAAAACATTGAAATGTTGAAGATTTTAATCGAGCAAGGCGCTCTTTTAGACACGTGTGATGCCGGTGGAAACACAGCACTAATCCTGGCTTCCAAATGTCGCAATGTGAAGATGATGAAGGAATTATTACATGCTGGAGCCGAGGTAAACGCGCTAAATTTCGATGACAAAACTGCCCTTTCTAGTATATTTCATTATGAAAGATACGGCTCCGTAAATTGTGAGGCGCTGGATCTCTTGCTTTCCTATGGTGGCGTACTGTCAGGGGTTGAATCTAGGACTGCGGTGTACACTCTGATACAAGACTCCATTGATCAACAAAAAAATGTAGTCAAAATTCTTGGCAAAGGTGTCTACCCTTACACCTTCGAGAACGAGAGCGGATCCTCATTAGATTTTTACATTCCAAGTGATCTGGAAGCGGTGACACCAGTCAGCTACGCTCTGGTAAGAAAAAAACCAGATACAGCCAAGTATTTGTTCTCCAAGAGCTTTCTGACTCTCTACGACGTGCAGACAATACAGCACAGCAAACAGTTCAGAGACTATCTCGTACAGCAAGGTCATGTGACCAGTACTGATGTATACGACGCCATTTTCGGCCAGCCGTTAACCCTTTTTACACTGAGCTTTGTGGTCGTGTCCGCGTCGCTGGGTGTCGACTTTGACAGACAGGAGAGGGTTAATAGACTCCCCATACCCCAAGCAATCAAAAGAAAATTACTGTTCCAAGATCTTCAAGACTAAAACACTGCTGTCACGGGGGGTTGTATAAGCCTACAAATGAATATTACCTCGTTACTGTAAATGATAGAAGCTTTGAGTATAAGACAGAGACAATATGCTGTTAACTTTTGAGGTGATATAATAGTCGTTATTTTTAACACGTTTTTATTAACTCAGCTTCGCGTGTGTTTGTTGTTAAAATTGACATCGAAAATTAGCCCACTTCTGATTGCTCTAGAGATCTGAAGTTTGGCATGCAGGTTACTTTCGCCTAACAATTTCAGATGCAATCATAAAAACTAGCAATTAGAGACCGTAATTAGCTTAATTTAATTACGCCCTAAGGACCATAAAATTGAGGACATGATTTCTAAAGATACCGACAAGACTGGAGGCCTATTGACACAGTTACTTCGGCCCCAATCGATGTGAGCGCGCTGGCCGTGATCGTATAGTGGTTAGTACTTCGCGTTGTGGCCGCGACAACCCAGGTTTGAATCCTGGTCGCTCAAGATTTTTAGTCCGTGTATTTATAAACACTTAGTCAAGTCATACTTAATCAAGTCATTAGATAAAGTAGAAAATAAACTATATAAAAAACTTTTTTAAAAACCACGTTTTTCATGTGTAGCAACGGACTAAAAAGGAGAAAATAAAATACTTAAAAAAAACTTTTTAAAAAACCACGTTTTTCTTGTGGACTAAAAAGTAGAAAATAACTATTTACATACATTTGATGACAAAAAACGTGGGTCGGGCAGATGGGTCGGGAAATTTGATGGTGAACGTACCCACGTTTTTTGTCATCAAATGTATGTAAATAGTTATTTTCTACTTTTTAGTCCACAAGAAAAACGTGGTTTTTTAAAAAGTTTTTTTTAAGTATTTTATTATGGTGATACTTTTAAAAATCTAGCAAATACGGCTGCTTTTAACTCGGAGTCAGCAATGAAGACAGACTTGTTCTTTAAACAAGCAAACGAGCTGAGAAACACAGCAGTTGATTGACAGCAAGATATACATCCAGATAAAACAAACGGTTGGTAACAAGTCAACCACACCACTTTGGTAAAACTTTATAGGACCTTGTTGCAGATGACGTCACTTTATGTTAAATGGTGGTAGGCAATTGATGGAGGTTTTGATGTGAACAAGTAGATGACAACCAACTGATAAGGACTTTGAAAAAGAGTTACAGAAGCCAATACATAAAAATATACTGTTTGATTAACCATGCAGCTAATTTATAACATTTCCTTAAGCTGCCTTTTCTTGTGAGGCATTAACATGATTTAATTGCACAGCTTAATAACACTCATTATTCAAGATTATTGAAATTGGAGAATTTTTTTTTTTCCTGTCCCACCCTCAGGTAGGCTAGAAATTAGTCTATATAATATAATACAGTCAGTATATCAACTTAATATTTGTTGCATAAGACAATTCTATTTAGATTAGATCTAGGGTCGTTGTATGCTTTCCATTATATAACTTGAAAATTGTGGGTTAGTGTTACATGTAAATTAATATTTGTTGCTTAAGACAATTCTATTTAGATCTTGAGTCGTATGCTTTACATAATTATATAACTTGAAAATTGTGTTAGTATATAAATATAAGTTAATATTTGTTGCATAAGAGCATTTTATTTAGATCAAGGGTCATTATATACTTATTTAACTTGATTATAATCTAAAGACAAAATACTGCCCTTTTTTCATGTTAAACCCTGATTGTAGTAGGTAGTCATAATTGCTTATCTCATGCTGTGTGTGAATTTAATTATTTCGCTTTAACTTTAGTTAATGTCAGTATGACCTGTGATGAGGAATTAAAATTCATACCATAATTTATGTTTCAGTTCAGCTATCTTATACATTAGGTGTTTATAATTGGCATTTAGTAAGTAAAGGTTACATAATTTGAGCAAAATATCTATTTGATGGGCGCTACAATTGGGTCTACAGTACCAAATTCTAAGGGTATGGTGTATAGGTTAGTCATACCTTTTATATGATGGACTGATAATTTCGGAGCACCCTTTGTAATAAAACTTATTAATTTTCATTCTTAAAATAAGACAGTTATTTTAATAAAGTCACAAAGTTCCTGCTTTAAACACAAGAATTTCATTTAATCTGTATTTAGCACTATCTGTTTAATTAAAAACATGATTTTAGTGAAGACCAAACTTGAAATTGCAAATAAATGTAATTGAAAATAATCTTTAACTAAAATCAGCAGAATGGATGGATTTTTAACAGAAATCTCCAGTACATCAGCAACTTCCATTCAGGCTATAGTGACACACTCAATAATATCAGTGTAAAAAACTTGTTTATTTATTGATTAAAATTAGGTATCATTCTAACAATACAGCTCAAATACAAAAGGTCCAACTGTCACACACATATACAGGGGGGAGTTACATCGTCAATTCCTGAAAGAATCAAACAAAACACATCAGAAATCTTTGTAACATCAATGAGTGAAAGCCATCATTAAACTGCTCACTAATCATATAAGCACTGCATTTGTTAGAGTGAACTATTTAAAAACTATTATGTAATTCTACTGGTATATGTACAGGCAAATACCGTAAGGGCTATATTTATCTCATCTCATATAGCTAATCTATCTAAACAATATTTTAATCCCTGTATCTAATTTCCTGCAAATACTCACCATAATAGCATTGACGATATCATTGTTATTATTTTTAAGAGCTTTGACAGCCTTGGCTTTAGAAACATTGGCCTGAGACATGACGAGTTCAATATCCTTTTGTTCAACACCAGTCTCATCAATCTGAAACAAAGTTTATATCAGTACCTTCTGTTTAACTTAAGCCAGGCACAATACAAAGGGGGACAACAATTATTTTCGTTTATATTTTCTTTTAAATTACTGTAATGAAAATGATTACAAAAAATTCACTAATATAATGAATGGCTAAAAAAAAGGGTCACTAGATTAAACATTGAACTTGAATAAATATCCTTAGAACTTTAAAAAAAAAAAAAAAGCTGAGACTTTGACAAAACCCAACCAAAAGATTAAATTTCAACAATTAAAAATGTTTGTTTGCATACTAACACTACATTATATTGAGCGTGAGGAAATGCCTTTCACACACCAATGATATGGTAATGATAGAACATAGATAGGGCAATGATGGATGTATGCTGTATGTCAGATCAGAGTGGAGGGTTATTCATCACCTTGGGAAAGGAGTAGACAATGATTCAATAAAAAGAGAAGTGCTAACACCTACCTCTTCTTCCTCCTCCTCAGACTCCTCTTGGATGGGCTGTGATACCGTGCTAGCCTGTTCACCTGGTGCACCAGAGTTATCAAATGTCTTGAACTTGTTAGCTGCTGCCACCTGGGCCTGTTGGTTCAGATCCTCTATCTTAGCCTCACCAAATACTATGTATGTATCAGATGCAGGACTTTTGTAAACATCTGGCCGACTTATCACAAATAAAATATTTTTTGCCTTTCTGATAGTTACCCTCGTCACACCAGGTACTGGCTTAAGACCTGAAGTTAGGGGCAAAGGTATGTTAATTGGATTTTTGTCATGGTAAAAAAAAAACAAGCAGCTTATAGAAAAGATAGGTAATAAGCAGAATTTGAAGACAAAAAGAGGAACATACATGCAGATACTACTTTGCTAAACAGAAAATAAATAATCTAAATAAAATCTTGTGACATTATACACAGTGGAATAGATACATACATGGGTATGTAGGCCTACAATTTTAATTTATGTAGCTAGTATCTAGGCTAAAAACTGCTTAATGTCAGCTTACACATTTTGAAAGACCCCCCCCCCCCCTACCCCCAATGAATAAAACCTCAACTGGAATGCTTCATTATTGATTTAACAGCAGTTGTTGCTATCTTAAATGATTTTGGAAGATTCTTGCCTTGCTATGTACAAGGCCATATGAACTATAATTGCTGAAGCGCATGTAATTGTTAAGAGGAAATTAGGGTCTACCTAATTAGTAGTTACTTGATCAAGAAATGAGAGCATTAGTCATAATATTATGGCATTTTTCTTCATACCTTAAATCTGACACATAATTTAAATCTACCATTCAATTACAATAGCCAAAAAGAACATTTATTTCTAAATACTTCAAAATTGTTTTTAAAGATGCCTAATCTCAGCAGCTAATTTTTCAACATAATCTATTCTAATTGTAATTAAACAAGGAAACGGAAATGTGACAGTGAAATAATCATTTTCCCAGCTCTTTAATTTAATTTATTAGTTTCCTTTTCATTGATTCTATATGTTCACTTATATTTTTTCTGAAGCGGGATGGTAGGCAAGTTTGACAAGATCTGCTAGCATGCTACTAACCAAGTTTAGACATGGCTTTTCTTGCTTTCTTCTCACTACGACTCTGCTTGGCCTTGGATACCAACTCCTCTGGTAGTCCTGCTGCAGCTGCAACCTATAGAAGTTGGGACACCATTAACGTATATTGTGAATAAGGTTTGCATTAAATGTAAATATAAATAAGTAATAGCTACACTATGAGAGCAACAAAATCAGTCTCTGATGACTGACTTCTAATTTCAAATGAATAAAGAAAGTTTTCTTGCAACTTAAAAAAAAAAAGGCAAACAATAAATAAGATAAATACCAATTGACCCTACCTGGCTCTGTTGCTGCATGGCAGCTGCATCATGTTCTTCCAGTTCTGGTGGAGTGTCATCATCATCTGAATCAGAAGATGCAGTATCTTCAGCAGGTTTGGTTTCCTCTAAAGGCTTCTCTACTGCGTCGACAGGCATTGTTTGATATTTTCACTGGAAGAAAGCAATTTAGTTAGAAGCAGAGTAGAGATAGTATAGCCTATTTTCTAGGTTAGTATGTTCAACGGTAAAACAAATATTCAGGCCTAAGGTGTTAACTTATCAATGCAGAATATTAAGAGATTTGTTAAGCATGCCATTAAGTTATTCTGGAATTCCTTCCTTTAAATTTAATGCAAATACTAAACGTGCCTACCCAGCTAAAAAAAGGTACCATGAATTAGTAAAAAAGCAGCGCTCATGAACTAAGGTAAGTGCTGCTTGGCTTAGGGTCTAAGTCTATGCGTAAAATATTAACTTTTTTTTGGGTGCTTTATAGCTCAGTTGACATAAGTTTCATGTAATTAAGCCTAGGTAGGATGTAGGCCTATGCAAGTTCATACAATGAATAAGGAACTGAGAATAGTTGCTTTTGGAAGAATAACTTTTCAGTCTCAATAATCTGAAGCCTAGTTTTAAACCTTTTATTACATTCTTCCCCACAGATGGCCTGCAGTATCAAGAGATTGCACCCTCATTGGTTGGTAAAATGTGAGATGCAAAAAACAGTGTCATGAACACAGTAGGCCTAAAGACTAAAAAGTGACATCAGCTGATTGTGACATTTGATGTCATTTTACTAATGTAGTCTACATATTTGTGACATCAGTGGTTTGTAATTCATCAGAAGTACAAACACCATTTTGCAGTTTTCTAGAATGAAGTGACTGCTCGGAAAAAGAATTTTCGCCCCAGCATCTCCACTTGGTTGGCAAAAGATAGTTCTGTGCATGCGTAGTGACCTTAATAAATAGCTGAGCTAAGGTTATGGCTAGAGTTAGGGCTCTGCGGTTGTAAACACACGCATGCGTAGTACCATTGAAAACATCGCCTTGAAGGCGTCGTAGTTTCACTCCATTGCGCATGCTTATCTTTTTCCGGCTAGAAGCTGCCTTTCTAGGATTCAGCTGCAGCTAGATCTACATAATGCATATTTTAAGTCAGAATTTTGTCATCTGCTGTATTGTTAGAAGCCGCAGCTAAACGTAAAAAGGAAGGTCTCATGATCTGGATAACTCTAGTTCTAGAATGAACAAAATGTTTTTTTTATGATAACAATTCAAGATTTGTAGCAGCACTAGGTCTAGAATTCTTGCAATCACCTGCAATTTTTGGAATTAGTGTGTAAACTAGGCTTTTTGATGAGAATTACAGAATGATTTTTTTAATTAAAAATGTATTAATAATAGCTAGAATACTAGTAAACTAAGCTAATTTAGCATATTTTAACTTTCTGTGCAAAGTCATTATTACTGAAAAAAATTCCAAAGTCAGGTCAGCCTGTGGCACCCTCCACTGAACTTGAAAGAAGGAAAAAAAACTTGACCCGTGACCTTCATTAAAACAGAATTTACTTATGTTTCTTTTTAACTATTAGTAAACATGTGCTTAATATTACCCAATAAGTAATAAAAATTTGACAATTAATTTTAATTACTGTTGTAAAGTGAGATAAACAGCTTAATAAACACGTGTTTTCTTGAGGGGGTGTGACCCGGGTGTGGCACATCGCATGTAACTTTTTATTTCTGTGTCTTATGACTATTTGTTCACAATCAGCATGCTATGCTTTTAAAATTGATAAAGGGTAAGTATACCAAGCTACAAAACCTAAAATCTAACTAATAATTCATACTTTCAGTTTAAAAAATAATAAAAACGATCATCAATGAAGAAAGCGTAAACATTCTATTTTTAGGTGTGACATAAAAAAACAGTCATAAACCTAGCCAAATGATTGGATTCTTGCGCGGCACACATTTTCCCGCGCCTCGTGTTCACCAAAAAAGATTATAATAAAATGGCATTATTACTTGAACGGACCACATCTCATTCCGACCATAAGTTATTACCAGTTAATTGTAATGTGTGTAAAATTGATACTTTCAAGTTTCATATACACATAGTTTGGTGTATTATACACGGGGTATTTTAGAGTTATTTGATTCGAAAGATGAGAATTATATAGAGCTACTTTCACTAAGGCGCCGCTTGCGAGACAAACAAAGAAATTAGGCCAAAAGTAGATCCGACAATTCTTAATTAATAGACTTAAATGGAAACGGATAGTTCCGATTTCTAAAATTAACGATGGCTTCGTAATCATTAGTTTTATCCCTCTACCCATTAGTGAAAGCGAAACTGGTCGCCATTTTTGGTAAGCGCATGAGCCGTGAGATGGCTTCAAAACAACAAACCCGGAAGCTGTGAATCGAACGGCCTAGTGTAAACTCACTAAACTGTGATGTAGATTATCAGCTTGTGTGAAACTAAAAGAAAAGACCAAAACAAATCCGAGATCTTATTTCTCGCCAGAACTGGAGTCTCGATCTACTCCTAGGTTAGATATCAGTGCATAAAGTAGCATATAACAAAATATAGAAGGGTCTAGACAGCTTGGTTTATAGGGCTAAACGTGTTGTAAAAGGTAGAACAGATTTCATTAGTTAAAAAGTATGCTACAACAGATTGAGCAGACAATGACAAAAAAAACTTTCATTTACATATTTTCAAAATAATATAAGCAACGGTACGCGTCTAGTAAATATATATTTTATTTAAAACAAAATCTTGGTGCATTTTATTTACATTATTGTCAGGATTGAATGGATTGAGCCTTACCTTCAGTTATTTACACTAAAAGATGGTCGGCCATTAATCGGAAAAGGAATTCACAGGCTGTTTCCGGTTTTAACTATAAACATTAGTACATATTATTATGGTTCAATTCTAAATGCACTCATAACAATATTGTATATTTTCTAATGAAAATAGACCCATATATGTATAGAGAGCGTGCAATGACGACACTCTAAGAGGCTATTTTCGCCAATTTTACCCTCCCTTATTACATATATATATATATATATATATATATATATATATATATATATATATATATATATATATATATATATATATATATATATTTATATATATATATGTATATATATATATATATATGTATATATATATATATATATATATTAATATGCCCATAATATAAGCCTACATATTATAGAAATCTAGGTCGATATTTAACATTTGCCGGACATACATTTCCCTTAAATGTGTAATGTAGGCCTACATGTCGCAAGCAGTGTTTCTTTCAGATTTTTTTTCTTCGGGATAGGGGGGGCACTTGAAATTTTCCGGAGGGGGGGGGGCAGGTGAACTAAATTTTCCTATTGAAGTAATGCCTGAAACAAACTCTGGTCGCCAATGTAAAAAAAAAATTAATCATCGTTGTTTTATGAAACCGCAAACACGATGTTGGATGAATAAGGAGAGGATAAGTGCGATAGAAATAAATAAGAATAGTTTTATTTATTACTTCCCTTTGAATATTAGTCGTACTTATGAAAGAACAGAGCTTTTTTACTTACTCGTGTACACAAATCTCGACGTTTACACCTTCCTAAGTCGGAAAAAAAAAATGTTTTGCAATTTTGTCCGTATGCCTATGTGTGTATGTGTGTGTCTGTCTGTGAACACGATAACTTGAGCAGAGGCGTAGCGAGGGGGGGGGGGCGGGGGGGGACATATGTCCCCGGGCGCCGACCTTAGGGGGGGCGCCAAATTGAAAGTTTGAGGGGGGGTGCAAATGAAAAGTTCGAGGGGGGGGGGGGTGCAAATCGAAAGTTTGAGGGGGGGGGGGGGGGTGCAAATGAAAAGTTCGAGGGGGGGGGGGTGCAAATCGAAAGTTTGAGGGGGGGGGGGGTGCAAATGAAAAGTTCGAGGGGGGGTGCAAATCGAAAATTTGCTCCCGAGGGGGGCGCCAAATTGAAAGTATGTCCCCGGGCGCCGGGAAGGGTCGCTACGCCTCTGAACTTGAGTACCGTTACAGCTAGGTTGATGAAATTTCATACATACGAATTAAATCGAATTTGTAGTTCTGTATCAACTTTTCAGCGATTTCCGATAATCCGAAGTGGAACATATTCTTATTTTAGTTTTTCAAAAGCCTATAATCTATTGTTTCAGATAAATAAATGAAGTTGCACATAGGGCCTATAAGTAAAAGATCTAATTTCTGCCTTCTGTAAATTTTTGAGTAATTTCCGCTGACCGCAGTAGTAATTTACGCTATTTCAGATTTCTCAAAAAAAAAAAAAAAGCATGTGAATTTACGAAGTACTAATAATATTCCGCACTGTTATGACATATTGTTTGCCATTCACTTGGTGCGCAATTTTTTTTCACGAGATTCTATTCTATTTTAAATGTTTTAAAAACTGAATTAAAAATCAAGTCTATATCCCGATTTGCCATTCCCGTTGTGTTATATACAAATATTCGAGAAAGTTTAGGGGAGATCACTCCCGGTTTATTTTTTTATGTCCACAGTAGTAAAGGGTCGTCCATTTATGAAGTTCACGCAAATTTTGAAGTTTAAACCTCCCTCTCACGCCAACACTCGTCCATTTTCGACACCCCCCCCCCCCACTCACCTCGACGTGGATTTCTTGAAAAATGTATTAGACCTCTCAAAACTGACTTCCAATTTACGAATTCAATGTACATATTATTAACTTACAGAATTAAGAGGTTTTTAGAAAGCGTGACGACACATATTTGCAATAAAGCTAGAATTTTAGCCGTTATTTCACGCTTGTAAAATAATTCTTTACTTTTCTGTAAATTGCACTAAACATTGCTTAATATAACCTGCTATAATCTGACCGAGTGCAGTAAATATTTCAGAAAAGTAAATTGGTTAAAAGTTTTTATTTTTATTTTGTGTTGGGCTCTATCTTTTGGTGACGAAGTGTACCGTTACGGAAGGAGGGGAGGAGGGGTACAAATCGTGATAAAAAACCGTGACGCCGTTAATGATATGGATGACTCTAGTTTGAAAACAGTGATTTACCTACACGTTGAGCTGGGTTTATTTTTTTAAAATAAGTCCCCTATACTCCGTATATGACAAAGTAGGCCTACTCAGTGGTAAAACGATGAAAACTGTCAAAATTTCATGTGTTTTTGTGCACGATTACAATACTTCCTCTATCAGAAGGGTAGCGACCCCTTCCGGCGCCCGAGGACAAACTTTCAATTTTGCGCCCCCCCCTCCCCCAGTATATTTTAAATATTTATAATTCAAAATAGAAGCTAAAATCAGCTTATATTGGCACCCCTAGTGTCGGCGCCCGGAGACACATGTACCCCCCGCCCCCCCCTGTCGCTACGCCTCTGTCCTCTATACTCTGTATACGGGAAATTAAACACACTACAGCTCTTTTAATTTTAGTTTCAACATGCCGGATAAGAGTTTAATGTTTGAGTTAAAAAGTTAGCACTTTGATGTTCAATTCAGCATGTGGACGTACACTCGGCTCCTCCCCACCCCCAGCCCCAGCCCATAGGCGTCTACACAGGTCAATTTTTAGGACCCCCTCTTCTCCCTCCATGTGGGGGTCATAAATGGATCATCCCTACAAAACTCAACCTTCCTCTCCCACCCCCTTCACCAAAAACACCCTCCTTCTAAAGAAAATGAACTCGTAAAAAAAAAAAATTAAATGTATGCAGCAAATAATACCCCCCCCCCCCAACTCTATTGTGCCAATTTGTGTCCAGACCTCATCCCCCCCCCCTTGTCCATTAACACCTCACATCTTCTATAAATAATCTCTTTTTCTTCCATTTATCTCAACACATTTTATTAATCTTGTTACATAATTGGTTTAATCCCACAAAAACACAATAATCTTTTCAAATATCTTATTCGTAGAAAGTAACACTAGGGTGTGGGATCTTAAAACCTTACCGCGCCATCTATGTCATTAGCTATTTATGGAAATTGTTCATTTTGAAGCCGCTCAAATCTCCCCCGCAGAACTATTCCAAAAACGGTTCATTCGATTCTCAAATAACAGGGTGGGTCTGGAAAGGTGTGTAATTATACCTGTCCTCTCCAGGCGTGTCATGAGCTAATTGGTCGAGAAATTAGGGCCTTCTGTTTTCTTGGAATTGCTTGCTACAAAATAATAAAGCAATATTTGTTTTTTGCCAGCTCATTTTATATTCCCAAACATGCAATATTTGCCTATATATATATATATATATATATATATATATATATATATATATATATATATATATATATATATATATATATATATATATATATATATATATATATATATATATATATATATATATATATATATATATTACTTTCGTATAGGCTTTTGGTAAACATGCCTAAAGCCTAACCTAAGTCTGACCTGTTTGGACCAACATACACCATACTCTCGCACCTCGCGATATTAAATAAAACACAACACTTAAACACAACAGATAGAGTTTAATTTTAAGTCTTTTTACGTACGACTGAAACATTGTGTAAAATATTGTTACTACAAAGACCACATTTTCAATTGATCTGAAGTATGAACATTTCTTTTTTCTCTCTCTCTCTCTCTCATTTTGGTAATCTTTTATCAGATTGAAAAAATATTTTTATAAAATAGAATGTTGTACAATGTTCAAGTGACGAATATAAAAAACACTGTTTTATCATAGTTATAGGAAGATGTGGTAGAGCACTCGATTCAAACCCTAAGGTCACAGGCTCGAACCCAAAGGACGTACTGAGGTCATTCAGCTCTATTGGGTACCAGACTAAAAGTGGGGAAACCACAAGCTGCCGGGCACACTTTTTCTTTCCTTAACAGATGTAATGGTAAGAGATAAACTCCGCTTCATCTTGTAAAGCGCAATAATTCAGTTTCAAGTAAATTGTACAGCATCTTGGTTAGTTTTTTTTGGTCTTATAATCAACTAATTAGTTGAGTAAATCAGTGTCTTGATTGGTGTCTTGAAATCAACTAATTAGTGATGTAAATCAGTTTCTAAATTGGTGTCTTATAATCAACTAACTAGTTAAATTAATCAATGTCTAGATTGGTGTCTTGTAATCAACTAATTAGTGAAGTAAATCAGGTCAGCCCCCCCCCCCCCCGAGACAGACATGCTTGTTCAGACTTTCCCCCGGGGGTGGGATGTCCCAGAACTCGACCAGTAACCCCACTAATCCGCATAATCCGTCGCGGATTAGAATCACGACCTTTCCGTTTTGTGGTTTTTTAACGCGGGTATAAATTTGCTCAATGATTAGTCTCGGGTCAAAGGTTACGTCGTAAGGAGACCAGCTTCAGTCATGACTGTGGTGATGACTTTATGACTGCGGTGATGACTTTATGACTGTGGTGATGACTTTATGACTGTGGTTGTCATTTCAGGACTGTGGTTGTGACTTTATGACTGTGTTTGTGACTTCTAGACTGTGGTTGTGATTTTATGACTGTGGTTGTGACTTCAGGACTGCGGTTGTGACATTATGACTGTGGTTGTGATTTCAGGACTGTGGTGATGACTTTATGACTGTGGTTGTGATTTCAGGACTGTGGTTGTGACTTCATAAATGTGATTGTGACATTATGACTGTGGTTGTGACTTCATGAATGTGATTGTGACATTATGACGGTGATTGTGACATTATGAATGTGATTGTGACTTCATGACGTTATCACATGCCAACTTAATCATTGCAAAATACAGAAGTCTATCATGAAAATATAGAACTGGAAATAATTTTTATATAACCTATATCTAAATTACAATGTCTGTTTCTCTGATGAGACTGACAAACATCATTAAACCTTTTTGATATTGAAAATTGTAATGG